TAAGACTAATATACACCCATGCTTAAGAGGACAGATGATAAACGATAGAACGGGAAGAGGCGCTAGGGAGGAAATTGTCCAGCAGGATCATTAGTCACCTATGAATGAGGCAACGTAAGATTCCCACGCCAGCTGTAACACTGCGAATCTAAGCAAATCGTTCTGTCTGTTGTCTTAAAATCCGGATAAGGGGGCATCAATTTCTGCTTCTAACTTCCTCATTGTAAGAGACTGCTAGTGAGGATGATAGATGGCTTTAAAATTTTGAGTTTGTTACCAATAAAATCAACACGTGATTAGTGAGATATGATAAGTGTATTCAAAGTCACCCACACAGAATGGCTTCTAAGCCAGAGCCAGGCTTGAATGTACCAGATCAGTTGTACTAGTATAACCTCAGGGAGAATGAATCTGTCGTAGGAAGGAGGGCAGCTAAAGCACAGGGATCCAAGTCTGCTGGGAGAGGCTGTCCCTGTCTAGGGAGCGAGACACTCAGGCTGGGGGCATTGGGGCAGTGGGTGTCTACACAGGGTAGCCTGGATGAAAACACTAATAATACCTACTCTGCCTTGCTCTGCTTTCAGACTCACTTAGCAACCTTCAGATAATTAATTGGATTTTCCTGCTACATCGATGTCTGCGAAGAAGGTGCCCTGGATAGAACATACTGTTTGCTCGCTTGATTGATTCATTCGTTCCTTCGACAAATATTTATTGAGTGTTCCCTCCCTTCCAGGCACTGTTCTATGCCCTGAGGACCAGTAAACAAAAATAGACCCAGTCTCTGTCTTCAGAAAGCATATATCCTGGTAGGAGGAGACTATTAAATAAAGTACATACTGTGTCAGATGCTAGTAAGTATTATGGTGAAAAAAATAAAGCAGAGAGGGAGTGCAAGAGTGCTCCTGTTGGGACTGCTAATTTAGACATGGAGCCATGAAGATCTCGCTGACAAGTTGAATGAGGGAGGTAGGGCGGGAGTCATGTGTGTGTCTGAGGGAAGAGCCAGCGTAAAGCCCCGGAAGCAGAAATGTGCTCGGTATGTCTGAGGAAGGCCAGGTGGCCAGAGTAAGGTGAGACAGGGAGCAAGAGCAGGCGAGGAGGGACGCTACGGCCAGATTGTGACTTGAGCCTTCTCAGGGTTGGGAGAGGATATTACTCCCCATAGGGATGTGGTGATTTAGGAATTTGGTGTCTGGTTTATACTTCTGCCTCCTTTAAGCTTGGCTGAGTGAGTCCATCTTTTATGAGACTGAACCATTCTTGGAGTCTCTGATGTATTTAACTTCTGCCACTAGAATATTGAGGATCTAATTCAGGAACTTAGGGACTCCGTCATAGTGGTGCTCTCTGGGTGACCAAAAAGGACTCCTAAACTTGTTATCACCCCATATATTGCCAACAGACGTTTGAGATGTCAGTGCCACACTGTATAACGTGTGGAGTCACAACTATTCATTGCTTAATGGTCACTTTATGAATATATAGATATATGGGGTTGTACAGGTAAGAGTAAGAGATATACAGACATAGAACGGTTCACAGTAAAGTTCACGTTGTCTATGGACTTTGGAGTGAGACAGATCTGGGCTTGGATGGTGCAATTGGCACTTACTAGCTGTGAAGCCTTAAGAAAGTTATTTAAGTTATCTGGGAGTTTGTTTCCTCCACCTCAAAGAGGATGTCTGTAAGAATTAAATAAAACAAAAAGAGTGGTCATAAGGATTACATGAAATACTGTGCCTGATGGCAAAGCGTCGGTGCTCAGTAACATCAGTTTCCTTTCTCATCCCTCCCCTTCTCAATTTCTTCTTTGCACTGCACGGTTCAGAATTGCTGCCCACATTGAATCATAAGGAAACCTTAATTGATCAATGTTGGCACCACAGACTTCCAGCAACGCTCTCCAACAGGGGAGCCTGGGTTGTTGCAGCAGAGCCTGACCCAATCAGCAGTCCATTTGTACTGTTTTATACTCTCCAGACCTCCCCACCCTCTTACGGACCTCGAAGGTGAAATGAAGTAATGAACGTAAAACACTCAACACAGTGCTTGGCCATTGTTCATCCTCACCGAACGTTAATTTTTATGATTTTCTGTAGTTTTTGGAAAATTTTTATGGGATTGTATGCACGTATTTTATGTCATGAAAAAGTAAAAAGTAAAACAAAACATTATGTGAGTGACAGTGGTTTGTTTTATTGATAATGGTAAATTAAGAGGGGTTTTCTATCTTTGGGTCTGAACTGAATATAAATTGGGTGCTATGATGGTCAGTTTTATGTGTCAACCTGGCTAGACTATCCACTGATTCAATTTAACTCTAACTTAGGTATTACTATTGAAGGTATTTTGCAGATGTGGTCAATTGACTTTAAGTAAAGGAGATTATCCTCAATAACGCTGGTGGGCCTCATCCAATCAGTTGCATGGCCTTAAGAGCAAAACTGAGGCTTCCCTGAGGAAGAAGGAATTCTGCCTACAGATTGCAGCATTAGCTGAGTTCCCAGAGTGAAAACCTATGCTTCAAATTTTGGCCTTGCCAACCTCCATAATTCTATCAGCCAATTCCTTTAAATCAATTAGTCAATCTGTCTGTCTGTCTATCTATCTATCTATCTATCTAGTACTTCTGCTGGTTCTGTTCCTGTTTCTCTGGAGAACCCTAACTGATACAGGTGTGTATTAAGGTTTAACTATTCTTTTTTTTTTGTCAGTAAATCTTTACGATGCCTTGTTTGCATGAAGCAATTCTACTGAAACGAAACTTGAACAAGTCCAAACTGCATTAATCAATTTCTTTCAGCCTCATGACAATGTCTTCTTGGTCCAGGCCAGGCAACCTGATCCCTGGGTGGGGGGTTCAGCCCTCCACTGGTGGTGGCTAGCATGGCCATATCACCTGGGTTTTAGGTGGACAATAGAATGAACGTGAATGCCAAGTGAATAATTTGTCTGTAAAGACACAGATATATTAAGAGGTCACAGAGTTGAAACTTGTTGGCTCGCTAATCTCCAGGCATAAATTCATAGCACAACTCAGATACAAAACCTTTGTTGTCTAAGTGAAAATATATTTGTGCAGTACGGCAGCATAGCAATTTCTAGAATGAATACGCAGGATGACAAATTACCATGAGAAGGGATAGGACTGAGAGTGTAAATCTGCTTTTATTTTTGCTAGTCTGTCCATAATCATATGGAAATAAGCCCCTGGTGAAAAGTGAGACAAAAACTATGACATCATCTGAATTTAGTGTCACTCACTGCTCTAAGCTAAAAATTTGAGTGGGCTCCAACTTTCATTTTCTTGTCTCCAGGTTATTTTTTCCACTTTCTTCCTTTCCTTCATTGTAAATCCTTTCTCACAGCACTGTCAGAATTTGAACAAAAATATCTTTTGGCTCATTTCCGATTTACCATTTTCTTGCTGAACAACTCATTATGCGTTCTCTTTAGTCAAATTCTTACAACCTCATACGAAGTGGGTTATCAGATACTTACACACAATGGCAGGGGCAAATTACGTGTCCACAAGAGAAATCAACCAGGAACATAAACTAGCAACAGCCTTCTAAGAACTAGCTCCCCTTAGAAAGGCCAGGAAAGCTTCTTTAGTAAATGAGATACCAGAACCTCCAAGAGATATTTTAAGGGCCAGGATGGAGTGCTTTTAAAGTGGTGGCAACCTACGCTGTGCACAAAACCAAAGACTGAGCAAGGAAGGATATCTGGCCATAGATAACAGAGTTATGGAAAAACAAAAGTGTAACCTCAAAAAACCTCTACCTTCCATATCACCATTTTATAATTCTTAGAATGCTCTATGTTTGCAGAATTACTTTCTAATTCTCATGTTGTTTTACTTTTGCTTATCTCCACAATCTTCAATTTGCTTCTCTTTACTTCTTTCTTACTTAATTTCTGTTTTCTATTTTCCGCATTCCTCTAATTTGTTTTCCTTTCCTTCCTACTGTGAATTTCCTGTATTTCTCTTGCATCCTCTTCCCTCCTTCTATTTTTACTTCTTTTTCTTCACCTATTTTTTGAATTTCTTTTCCCTCTTCTTAATTCTTCTTCCTCTCCCATTGATCTGTTGTGGCTTTAATCATTGCTTAGGTGCTTAAAAATCCCCCAGTGACTGACATTTTCTCACTGAAAGGACAGGGATTTGTGGTTGTGGAGAACGAGCTACAAAGACCCAACACATTTAATTTACAGTCCTGTTCTTTCCTTTCTTTCTTGGCGCTTTTGTTTGGGATTAGAGATGGATGGCTTGCTGCAACTCACAATGGCAAAGCCCTTCAGGTCGGACTTCCTGGCCCTACAAATCACATGACAAGGTGTAGCTGAGTTACTGTTCACACTGATTGCCAGAATTTTAAACTTGCACTTCACCAGAAAAACCTTACTCAAATCTGCCCGGAAAATAAAGCAGTGCTATTTTATGATGAACTCTGATCAACCAGACTTGTTCTCCTTGGCCCATTCATTCTTGTCCTTTGCCACTACCCCTTCATTTTTTACAGGCTGAGACAGAAGAATACAGATGGGTTTCTGGGAGGAGGGTGCGGGAGGTTTGCCTGGGTTGCCCTGGCGAAAGGCCACTGAGACTGTTCATACAACGTCCTTAGTCAAGCAGGTCTGTTTGGCCAACTTGACCAGAAGTAAGAGCTTTACAAGAGGAAGAAGAGTAAAACAGACTGATTCTTCAGGACCACATGATTTTATCATCTGGCATTAGAAAATACTGGATTGTCATGAAAATACCAAATACATTTGACTCTGAGAGATTTCACTTGAGCTCTTTGTACGGACATACGTATGGACTACCCAGATTTTTACTTTATGAAATCATTCCTTTTTGTAAGTTTGACTGTGAGTTTGCTTTACCTTTCCGTGTTTCTTGAAGAGCAGGAGTGCACACTTCAATGATTACACACTTAAAGTAATTCTCTGCCTGCAGCAGGATCTGTGAGATCATGGTTGCTAAAGGATACTTGTGGTCAAAGCCATACCACATCCTGAAGAGCCGAGCGCTGTCTGTTTTTGTTGTGCCTTTATCCAAATTATTTGCTCCCTGGAGAGAGACAACAGAAAAAGGCATTGGATAAATAGTCAAAAACATTATAATATAAAGATACATGTCAAACCAAATTAAACTACATTAAAAAAAAACTTTCTAAGTGTAAGCATCTAAATGGCGAAGAAGTTGCCAAGCAAATCACCTCATGGATCTTGTTCTGTGGATGAGAACTTTTGGCATAATTCAACGTTTACTTTTCTTGATAATTCCAACTTTATTAAACAGGTGAGAAATGCCACTTTTTTGATATCAATAAAAATGATATTTCTGTCAGATCATTGTTGTGGGAATTTTGCAATTTACTTCTGTCAAATTTGGATGCTATTTGTTTATGGATTACTAAAAGGTCAGTGCTAAAGAGATAACAGTCTAATAATTGTTATACTAGTTTTTATTCACTTTCTTTTTGATAGATTGCTACCGAGATCTATTGTTGATTTTTGCTATCTTTTTGCTTAGATTATGAAGGGTTTTGAAATAGATATTCCTGACGGAAAGATAGTAATAACTGAATGTGCCTGTCTCATTTTATTTTTTTTCCAGACAGGCCACAAAGGGAGGGAGGATGAAAGGGAATTAAGGAGAAAAGAGAAAGAGAAAATATTTGATGGGTGTTTATGTGAGAGTAGGAGATGAAAATCTAAGAAAAAAGAAAGAAGGTGAACAATTTTGTGAATGTTAGAGACAGATAATAAAATTTGCAATGTGGTAAGAAGGTATTCAGTGGCATTTTTTTTACTTCTATGTATTTCATTTTGTGTATCAAGATAATTTTAATCATTTGTAATTATATACATTATTAAAAGCATTTATATATTAATGTGGGCTTTGTTGTTTTGTCTGGGACCACAGTTTCCATCCCCAAATTATATCATGAGCTTACAGCCCAGTAATAATATGAATATTCTTCTGAGGGTATGATGACACATGGAAGACAATGGAAATCCATTGGCTGCTCCAAAGCCAGCCCTTAAATGAATCCAAGTTGATTTGCTTTCGTTTTATTTATTTATTTTTTTTACCCTGGTGAAATGATAAATAGCTGGTCACAAAGCGTTGTATTCTGCCCTCTGAAATATATATATGTACCAGTAGATACTGCTATTCTATCCCTCCCAAATAAAATGGGAATACAAAAAAAGTAAAATGTGGTTGATTTTTAGTAAGCCATTTATCTTTTGTTTAAAATGGTTGAAGCAGAGACACACAGTGAAATTAAAATCCAAACTTCTCATTGCCCTTCTCACTGGTTGTCTTAAGATCTCTGATTTTCAAACCTTGTACAGTTTCCCAAACAGTGTACCTAGTATGCAACTATTCACATGATGTTGATGGAAATTTTGTGCCAACAAAATCCACCCTTCAGGAAAGGATGGATTTGACATTATTAAGTAGGTTTCTTAAATGCAGGTCTTCCCAGAGCCTTTAATTTATAAGTGAGCATTATAAATCTTCAAGAGGGAAGTATTTCTCAAAGTTACCTGGTCATGGGATCTATTCTCCATTCCTAATTCCCACAATGGGACACATTATCTTTTCACTGACATTAGAGTTCCACAGGACTCTATTTTCTGATAGGCTGGAGTACCATGCCTTGTTATCTAGAGTTAGAATTTACTTATATTTCCCCAAGAAAGGAAACCAAGGTGTCTGGTTCAATATCCATCCTTCCCTGAACCTTTCTCTAACCATTTCTACCCTAATAAAGGTGTTAGATTTGCAAAATCACTGCTGTACATAGTGTTTTCTGTATTATCTTGTGACATTTGGAAGTTGTTTCTGAGCCACTGTCCCCCAACAGTAATGTTGGGGCTCAGCTGGCAGAGCAAAACTGCTCATGTTGAACTAGTTAGAAAAAGCTCTGGACCAGAGCTATGGACCACTGGGGACTTTCTTCTCTTTTTTCTCCCTTTTCCTTTCATTAAGAACAATAAGGACTTATAGATTTTTATCTATGAATAGACATAGGTAATTTTTGATAGCTGATATCTGATGACTAGATAGTTATTGAACAAAATTGATATATAGTATCAGCAAATTCCTATTTTTTGTTTGTTTTTAAGTAAGAGTGGACAGTATAGTAGTGAGCTCTCCTGGCAGTCAGGGGCCCAGGATTCTAGCACCCACCCAGCAGCAGCCCATCTGAATGATGTTGGCAATGTCTGTCTGTCCCCAGCTATAGAATGCTCATTATCTCCTAGGCAGTAGGCTAGTCACATTATCCAGTCATTAATTTTTTTCAGTCATTATTTTCCAATTCTCACAACAATCCACCAAGGTAGGTTGTATCATACTTCTTTGGCACATGAGGACCTAGAGAGGCCAGAGAAGGAAAGAAATGAGCTCAAAGTCACACAACTAGCAAGTAACAGAATTGGAATTTGACTGCTGGATTGGATAAAGGATGTCTTTTTCTACAAATATCTCACTCAGCCTTTAAACTTTTGAAAGCATAGACATTCTATGATAGGCTACCTAACCTCATTGGGCTGCAGTTTCCTTGTTTGTAAAATGAATTGAGGAAATTGGACTGGTTCATCTCTAAGGTCCCAATCATATGGAAGATACTATGTTTTTATTAATGACAACGAGAGCAGCTACATTTCTTCAACCCTTACCATGTGCCAGATTCTACTCTAAGTTTTTTTAATATGTTAACTCTAGATTCTTGTAACTATTTGATGAAGTGTATTTTATAGATGAGGAAACTGAGTCAATTGAGGCATGTTTCCAAACACACTGGGGCCCCTCAGCCTCCAGGATTCTTCCCATCTAGGTAGGGTCCTGGGGGTAAGTTGAGAGCAAACTAAGGGCAAACAGGTATCTGAACAGAGAGGTGAGGTCAGGATAATGGGATGCTCATGGAGGCTGAGATAGAGCAGCTACATATACCCCCAAACATGATGGAAATGCATGGCTCCCCTCAGCTGGGTGAACTGCTGATGGCTTTGAAAGTGTCCTCACAGAAACTTAACTTCAGTCTTAGGAATTTCTGTAGACTTCTAGACACTGGTTTCAAGGGCTTCCCAAAGTCTTAGAAATCCTCCCTGCCTTTCTTTCTCCTTTTCCTCTCTTTTTAATCTTATTTTATTTCCCAAGGTGAATATATTAGAACTCATGATATGAGCACTCCCAAAAAGCTTATTCTCTATTTTTGGCAAGCCTTCCAGGGATATTTTTTGTCAGCTGATGGGAGCAAGACACATTAGGTAGCATTTTGGAAAAATATTAACACATAATCTTTTTAAAAAAAATTTTTCTTTTAGTTGAGTGACTGGAGATGTTATTCATTTCACTACTTTGTAGAGAAATAAACTGGATTTTAATTAGAATAAAATATTTCTGGAATACATTTTCACAGGTGGGCAAATACTACCAATGACCCAGCATTGACTTTTCTGCTGATCCTAGATAAAGTTTGCAGACTATGTCTTAAACATCCTTTGGTCCAGTTTTGGATCGATTCGTTTATTTCTCTGAGGTTATTGATGACTTAATAACTTGGTTATGAAAGGCCATCAATAAATGAGTAGAAATAAATGAGTTAGTCTAGTGTGCGCTCTGCTTGTGCACTGGGGGTTGAAGATAAACGTGCTCGGGGAAGGCTGGCCTTTGCAGTCACCCTGGAACAGGGAAGGTATCTGATGAGGCAGCACAGAGAGCCAGCCCCTGGGAGGGTCCAGATGGGCAGAGGAGAGCAGGTAGCATCAATCTATCTGGATTACTCTAAAGCAGAGATCAGCTCACACCTCAAGGACAATGGATGAGAACAGTCATCAGAAGCAGAATCCGGAGCTTGGTGGTGATTTTCTTTATCACTAGCAACATAACTTCTCTTTCTAGTTCCTATTCCAGAGGGGAAGTGGTGTGCATGTTGGAACAAGCATAAGATCCAGAAACTGAAGACCAAGATTTGGGTTTGTATTCTCTACCATTTAGTAATAACAATACATTTACCAGCTCTGAGCCTCATGTTTCACAGCTGTAAATGGGATCTGGCAATTTCAAGTGTGTTGAATCTCAACTTTTACTGGCCTAGGTACCCTGAAAAGCAGAATGTTTGATGTATGAGGAATTTCTGGCTCTCTTAATAACTTCTATTTTGGGGACAATTTAAAAATGACTGGGGCATTTGATATTTTTCTTTTTTTCTCCTTAAATAGGGGAATAGACCAGAGGTTGGGAAGTGACTGGGAAGAGTAGGAAGTGGGTAGTTTTCTTTTAAATGATCCCCTAACGCTTAATACCCCCAGAGAGGGAGCAACAGGGAAATTATACTGGTACTTATTTGTTTTGTGCTTATTTAACTCCTGAGAGAAAACAAAAAGCTCTGGTGAGAAATCTTTGAAAAACAGACACTGAAGCAAGAGGGATTTTTTTTTGTTGTTGTATTTAATGAAAAAGAACTAAGCAAATGTAAATATATTCCTCTGTCAATATTCAAATATGGGGACTTTGTTAAGTGAACTGGATGAACTCTGCTTTGGGTTAATCATATGGGGTTGCTCATCATTTCAGGGGGATTCAATGGATTACGTGAGAGAGAGAGGATTTTCCTTTCTATTTCTCAAGATTTCATATTCAATACTAATGTCAGTGGAAGATGCATGGAGTGATAACAAGATAAATAATTATCATGACAAAATTGTAGGGCCTTTATGGGTTCTAAAACACTTTTTTAGTAGTCAAATGTGAATGGAATTTGTTAGCAGTACTTTTGCCCTACCATATCCCTTCACCTTGGAGTGTATTCATGCAATAATTTCCAATTCCTTGCCTCGATTTTCTAATTACCAAGGAGAGGACCAGATTCTGTGTCTCTAAAGACAAAGATTTCTGGATTCCGAAGAGGGATATAATTGAAGAGCAAATAGGATTTTTTTCAAATATACATTTTAAAAGGTAAATCATTAATTCTTAGCCTCTACATAGAAAGCACTTTATACAAATATTCTCACCTTCTCAATGCCCAGGTACACTCATAAAGAGG